CAGAGAGATATATAAAATATAAAATCACACAACTCAGCTCACAAAACATAAAATTAATACATTTAAAATAAAAGATACAAACACAAAACAAACCAGAATAAACATAACCATTTAAAAAAACAAAAAAAACAGCCAAATAATAAAAACAATAGACCACTGAAAGCAAATAAAAGCAACAATCTACTTGTTTACGAATGCTAAGGAGAAGAGGTGGTCACCTTCACACCAAACAGGGACTGTATATTCATAATGCTTGAAACAGTTGTATTAAAAAAACATTGCTAACATGTGCTTACTGAAAGACAACCTTGAGATGATACAAAGTTAAACTGAGCAAAAAGACCAGTGATGCTGGCTTCCTAATTAAACGACAGAGAAATACAGTATTTGGCCGATGGTGAAGTTATCTAATGAAATTCACTCCCTTTTGAATTTTGGCACTCAAAATCTGGAGCTGGGAGATACTTCATATTTTTAATTTAATGATGAGTTGAATCGGGAAAGGCGCTTTTTGAAGAAAAACACATTTTTAAGAAAACATTGTTTTATCAAGATATGTATTGTTTTTTCTTCTTCCATAACATAATGACAACACTATTTAACACTCGCGCTTCTATTGACTAGCGCTGCAACACATTGTACGTGATAAGCTAAGGGGCGGGACATCTCTGAGCGGTTGACCAATCACAACAGAGCCGACCAGCTAACCAATCAGAGCAGACTGGGCTCTGGTTTCAGACAGAGGGTGAAAAGAGGTGCTGCAGCACAGACAGTATGAGAGAAATAAAGAGCTTTTTGAACATTAAAGCATGGAGACATGTAGAGACACTACATACTGATATACACCTGACATCAGCAGGAGAGGACTCTTTAAAGTAGAGACACTACATACTGATACACACCTGAACATCAGCAGGAGAGGACTCTTTAAAGTAGAGACACTACATACTGATATACACCTGAACATCAGCAGGAGAGGACTCTTTAAAGTAGGAGACACTACATTACTGATATACACCTGAACATCAGCAGGAGAGGACTCTTTAAAGTAGAGACACTACATACTGATATACACCTGAACATCAGCAGGAGAGGACTCTTTAAAATAGATCACCATATATACTGATATACACACTGAACATCAGCAGGAGAGGACTCTTTAAAGTAGAGACACTACATACTGATATACACTGAACATCAGCAGGAGAGGACTCTTTAAAGTAGAGACACTATATACTGATATACACCTGAACATCAGCAGGAGAGCACTCTTTAAAGTAGAGACACTACATACTGATATACACCTGAACATCAGCAGGAGAGGACTCTTTAAAGTAGAGACACTATATACTGATATACACCTGAACATCAGCAGGAGAGGACTCTTTAAAGTAGAGACACTACATACTGATATACACCTGAACATCAGCAGGAGGAGGAGTCTTTAAAGTAGAGACACTACATACTGATATACACCTGAACATCAGCAGGAGAGGACTCTTTAAAGTAGAGACACTACATACTGATATACACCTGAACATCAGCAGGAGGAGGACTCTTTTAAAATAGAGACACTATATACTGATATACACCTGAAAAATCAGCAGGAGAGGACTCTTTAAAGTAGAGACACTACATACTGATATACACCTGAACATCAGCAGGAGAGGACTCTTTAAGTAGAGACACTACATACTGATATACACCTGAACATCAGCAGGAGGAGGACTCTTTAAAGTAGAGACACTACACACTGATATACACCTGAACATCAGCAGGAGAGGACTCTTTAAAGTAGAGACGATACATACTGATATACACCTGAACATCAGCAGGAGAGGACTCTTTAAGTAGAGACACTACATACTGATATACACCTGAACATCAGCAGGAGAGGACTCTTTAAAGTAGAGACACTACATACTGATATACACCTGAACATCAGCAGGAGAGGACTCTTTAAAGTAGAGACACTACATACTGATATACACCTGAACATCAGCAGGAGAGGACTCTTTAAAGTAGAGACACTACATACTGATATACACCTGAACATCAGCAGGAGAGGACTCTTTAAAGTAGAGACACTACATACTGATATACACCTAAACATCAGCAGGAGAGGACTCTTTAAAATAGAGACACTATATACTGATATACACCTGAACATCAGCAGGAGAGGACTCTTTAAAGTAGAGACACTACATACTGATATACACCTGAACAGCAGCAGGAGAGGACTCTTTAAAGTAGAGACACTACATACTGATATACACCTGAACATCAGCAGGAGAGGACTCTTTAAAGTAGAGACACTACATACTGATATACACCTGAACATCAGCAGGAGAGGACTCTTTAAAGTAGAGACACTACATACTGATATACACCTGAACATCAGCAGGAGAGGACTCTTTAAAATAGAGACACTATATACTGATATACACCTGAACATCAGCAGGAGAGGACTCTTTAAAGTAGAGACACTACATACTGATATACACCTGAACATCAGCAGGAGAGGACTCTTTAAAGTAGAGACACTACATACTGATATACACCTGAACATCAGCAGGAGAGGACTCTTTAAAATAGAGACACTATATACTGATATACACCTGAACATCAGCAGGAGAGGACTCTTTAAAGTAGAGACACTACATACTGATATACACCTGAACATCAGCAGGAGAGGACTCTTTAAAGTAGAGACACTATATACTGATATACACCTGAACATCAGCAGGAGAGGACTCTTTAAAGTAGAGACACTACATACTGATATACACCTGAACATCAGCAGGAGAGGACTCTTTAAAGTAGAGACACTACATACTGATATACACCTGAACATCAGCAGGAGAGGACTCTTTAAAGTAGAGACACTACATACTGATATACAACCTGAACATCAGCAGGAGAGGACTCTTTAAAATAGAGACACTATATACTGATATACACCTGAACATCAGCAGGAGAGGACTCTTTAAAGTAGAGACACTACATACTGATATACACCTGAACATCAGCAGGAGAGGACTCTTTAAATTAGAGACACTACATACTGATATACACCTGAACATCAGCAGGAGAGGACTCTTTAAAGTAGAGACACTACACACTGATATACACCTGAACATCAGCAGGAGAGGACTCTTTAAAGTAGAGACGCTACATACTGATATACACCTGAACATCAGCAGGAGAGGACTCTTTAAAGTAGAGACACTACATACTGATATACACCTGAACATCAGCAGGAGAGGACTCTTTAAAGTAGAGACACTACATACTGATATACACCTGAACATCAGCAGGAGAGGACTCTTTAAAGTAGAGACACTACATACTGATATACACCTGAACATCAGCAGGAGAGGACTCTTTAAAGTAGAGACACTACATACTGATATACACCTGAACATCAGCAGGAGAGGACTCTTTAAAATAGAGACACTATATACTGATATACACCTGAACATCAGCAGGAGAGGACTCTTTAAAGTAGAGACACTACATACTGATATACACCTGAACATCAGCAGGAGAGGACTCTTTAAAGTAGAGACACTACATACTGATATACACCTGAACATCAGCAGGAGAGGACTCTTTAAAGTAGAGACACTACATACTGATATACACCTGAACATCAGCAGGAGAGGACTCTTTAAAATAGAGACACTATATACTGATATACACCTGAACATCAGCAGGAGAGGACTCTTTAAAGTAGAGACACTACATACTGATATACACCTGAACATCAGCAGGAGAGGACTCTTTAAAGTAGAGACACTACATACTGATATACACCTGAACATCAGCAGGAGAGGACTCTTTAAGTAGAGACACTACACACTGATATACACCTGAACATCAGCAGGAGAGGACTCTTTAAAGTAGAGACGCTACATACTGATATACACCTGAACATCAGCAGGAGAGGACTCTTTAAAGTAGAGACACTACATACTGATATACACCTGAGCATCAGCAGGAGAGAACTCTTTAAAGTAGAGACGCTACATACTGATATACACCTGAACATCAGCAGGAGAGGACTCTTTAAAGTAGAGACACTACATACTGATATACACCTGAACATCAGCAGGAGAGGACTCTTTAAAGTAGAGACGCTACATACTGATATACACCTGAACATCAGCAGGAGAGGACTCTTTAAAGTAGAGACACTAAATATGAACCTAAAAAAAAATAATGTTATCTTGCTTTTGCTTTTCCTTCACTCACTCTCACCCAGTCTCCCTCGTTCTACCTCTAACAGTTTTACCCAAACAAACGCACCCCCATGCCTGAGAGTGAATCATGTAGGAAGTAATCAGACATGACTGAACTCTCCTGGTAAACATGAGAGACCCTTGTCATCTCATTTATGGTTTCACCCTCGGCATGTCAGAAGTAACCCCACTGACAAATCTTTAAAACACCAGAGAGTTACAGCGTTAGACGCATTGATTCAACCGGACGGATCCGGGACGTAATGCTGTGCAAAGATTGCGTCATCATTGCATCACTCAGCTTTGGTTTTAGAGAAGTCATTTCTTCAGGGATACAGTTATTTATTTTTCTGCAAGATTGAGAGGTAGTTCCTTTATCTGTTTAACTAGGAAGCTGATATCGGCAGTATTTCCAATTATTTATTTGTATTAATGAATAGGTTTCAGAAAATATATGTTTTGAGGCATTTTCATTTATTTATGATTCTTATTTTTTAGGTATTTTTATAAATGGATAATACTTCCTGTTTGAAATGTGAAATTCTATTTGTTTTGTTTTATATTTACCTTACCTTATTGATAGCAAACTGTAGGATATCTTCCTTCCAATATTCCAACATTTTAATAACAAGATTTGAGGGATTTCTACCAGAAAATGTGTAGTTTTGAGTTTCTAAAAAGACATATCTGTTAAATATCTGCTATCAGTTTCATAAAACTGTCATGTTTGGGCTCTCATGTTTGTTTTGCTTCCTTCAGGGTGTGGACACTGCAAGAAGATGAAGCCAGAGTATGATGAAGCTGCTGAAATACTCAACAAGGCTGCAGACGTGAGTTTCCTAACCTTCCTTTACGTGCATGCTTACAGGCCTGTGTGTTTCCATATATCATACTCTGCTGCACACACAGATCTATGTGGGCGTAGCAGCGCCTCATTAACACTTCCTAACAATCCCTCCTCTTGGCCTGAAGGCTTTTTGGCCGCCATGCTGGTCGCTGTGTCCTGCAGCCCGCCTCTCGATGTGTTTCTGATTAGTCGGGTGTGTTCCTCCTCTCCGCCATTCTGTCCTCTGTGGTAATGCAACACTCCCCAGCCAGGGGCAGGGCCTATAAACCTCCAATTATCTAATCCGTGAGCGTCTCCCCGGCCCGATGCCTGGACCTTCTCCTCGTGGCTCTCTGCCCAGTGCTGGAGGTCAATGGGAAAAGCCTGGCCGTTATCTAATATTGATGATCTGGAGCCTCTTTCACCCTGAGCCCTCTAGACCCAGCATGTCATTTATTTCTCACCCTCCTTTCCTTCTCTGCCGTTCTTACTAATGCAGCGCTCTTACGTTATAAATACACGACCAGTGTGTGCTCATTAGCAGAGGTTGAACTTGGGATTATTCTCTGGAAGTTTAAATTGCTCGGTGTCATGTAACAGTTTAGCGTAAAGGACTGTCATTGTCAGCTATTACGTTATACTCCAGTTCTACTCCAGTACGACTCAGATGTCGCACTTTTCCTTGTACATGTGATGTTTTGGTGTTGTTGTTTTTGTTGTTGTGTTTCATTCCGTTAACTGTCAAGTGGGAACTAAGTATTTTTTTGTACGTTTTTGTGTTTCTCTTATTTTCCTACGATACTGTTATGATTGGCTGTGAATAAGAAAATATGAAGGACAGACCATATATTTCTATGTATGTATTTATTTTGAGAAAGGGGCAGGTAATATACAGTGGGGCAAAAAAGTATTTAGTCAGCCACCAATTGTGCAAGTTCTCCCACTTAAAAAGATGAGAGGCCTGCAATTTTCATCCTAGGTACACTTCAACGATGAGAGACAGAATGAGGGGAAATAATCCAGGAAATCACATTGCAGGATTTTTAATGAATTAATTGGTAAATTCCTCGGTAAAATAAGTATTTGGTCACCTACAAACAAACAAGATTTCTGGCTCTCACAGACCTGTAACTTCTTCTTTAAGAGCCTCCTCTGTTCTCCACTCGTTAACTGTATGAATGGCACCTGTTTGAACTCGTTATCAGTATAAAAGACACCTGTCCACAACCTCAAACAGTCACACTCCAAACTCCACTATGGCCAAGACCAAAGAGCTGTCAAAGGACACCAGAAACAAAATGGTAGACCTGCACCAGGCTGGGAAGACTGAATCTGCAATAGGTAAGCAGCTTGGTGTGAAGAAATCAACTGTGGGAGCAATTATTAGAAAATGGAAGACATACAAGACCACTGATAATCTCCCTCGATCTGGGGCTCCACGCAAGATCTCACCCCGTGGGGTCAAAATGATCACAAGAACGCTGAGCAAAGATACCAGAACCACACGGGGGGACCGAGTCAATGACCTGCAGAGAGCTGGGACCAAAGTAACAAAGGCTACCATCAGTAACACACTACGCCGCCAGGCACTCAAATCCTGCAGTGCCAGACGTGTCCCCCTGCTTAAGCCAGTACATGTCCAGGCCCGTCTGAAGTTAGCTAGAGAGCATTTAGATGATCCAGAAGAGGATTGGGAGAATGTCATATGGTCAGATGAAACCAAAATAGAACCTTTTGGTAAAAACTCAACTAGACGTGTTTGGAGGCGAAAGAATGCTGAGTTGCATCCAAAGAACACCTACTGTGAAACATGGGGGTGGAAACATCATGCTTTGGGGCTGTTTTTCTGCAAAGGGACCAGGACGACTGATCCGTGTAAAGGAAAGAATGAATGGGGCCATGTATCGTGAGATTTTGAGTGAAAACCTCCTTCCATCAGCAAGGGCATTGAAGATGAAACGTGGCTGGGTCTTTCAGCATGACAATGATCCCAAACACACCGCCCGGGCAACGAAGGAGTGGCTTCGTAAGAAGCATTTCAAGGTCCTGGAGTGGCCTAGCCAGTCTCCAGATCTCAACCCCATAGAAAATCTTTGGAGGGAGTTGAAAGTCCGTGTTGCCCAGCGACAGCCCCAAAACATCACTGCTCTAGAGGAGATCTGCATGGAGGAATGGGCCAAAATACCAGCAACAGTGTGTGAAAACCTTGTGAAGACTTACAGAAAACGTTTGACCTCTGTCATTGCCAACAAAGGGTATATAACAAAGTATTGAGATGAACTTTTGTTATTGACCAAATACTTATTTTCCACCATCATTTGCAAATAAATTCTTTAAAAATCCTGACAATGTGATTTTCTGGATTTTTTTCTTTTCTCATTCTGTCTCTCATAGTTGAAGTGTAGCTAGGATGAAAATTACAGGCCTCTCATCTTTTTAAGTGGGAGAACTTTCACAATTGGTGGCTGACTAAATACTTTTTTGCCCCACTGTAAGATTATTTTCTTCTCCCTGCTCCTTTTCGGGTACGGTGTGTTTATAGAGACATTTTTTGTAAATAAGTTATACATGGACTGGAGCCTCTTTCACCCTGAGCCCTCAAGACCCAGCATGTCATTTATTTCTCCCCTCCTTCCTTCTCTGCCGGGCTTACTAATGCAGCGCTCTTACGTTATAAATACACGACCAGTGTGTGCTCATTAGCAGAGGTTGAACTTGGGATTGTTCTCTGGAAGTTTAAATTGCTCGGTGTCATGTAACAGTTCAGCGTAAAGGACTGTCATTGGTCTAATTAGGCACCATAGTCATTATATCACTCCCCTATCCTCTGTTGTCTTTCCTCCAGAGTCCCGGTGTGTTGGCAGCGGTGGACACCACCGTGCACAAAGCTGTAGGAGAGCGCTTCAAGATCTCCGGCTTCCCGACCGTTAAGTATTTCGTGAAAGGTGAAGACAAGTACACGCTGCCACACCTGCGGAACAAAGACAAGATCATCGAGTTCATGCACAAGTGAGTCACCACTTAAAAAGGACATACTATGCTCATCTTCAGGTTCATTTTTGTATTCTGTGTCTCTCCTGGGACATGTCTCCATGCTTTAATGTACTGTGCTGCAGCACCTCTTTTCACCCTCTGTCTGAAACCAGAGCCCAGTCTGCTCTGATTGGTTAGCTGGCTGGCTCTGTTGTGATTGGTCAACTGCTTAGAGATGTCCCGCCCCTTAGCCTATCATGTACAATGTATGTGAAGGAGTATGTGTCTTAAGTAAGGGATAATGTGCAGCGAGGCGGTCATTGTGGCGTCGGGCTCCTGATCTGCCTGTCAGGGTGTTCTCCATAATGACCAAGTCGCTGCACATTATCCCGCTTATTGAACGGCCACATTCTCAACAAAGTAACGATATGACTCCCAATATTAATTGAAATGCTTTTATAGATTTAGAAAATGTTTTTATTGATTTAAAAAATAGTAGGCAAGGCAAGTTTATTTATATAGCACCTTTGACCACAAGGCAATTCAAGGTGCTTTACAAAAATGAAAGACATTCGGACAAAGGCATAAGGCTATTATTTATTTAGAATGACATGCATCCGCTAAGAAAAATAGTCCGTTGTTACCGTTTGAACTAACGTAACAACGGCAGGAACTGCTTCGATAGCGTTTTTGAGGAGCTTTTTGATTACAGATTTGAAAACATCGTTGCTTGCTTTAAAAGTAGCACAATTCATTATGTCAACCCTAGATATCCCTGCCCTAATGCCAAAGCAACTGGCAACTGAATATGTGTCGCCGTTTGATGTCTATGTCTGGACCGCTGCGTAAAAAGGAGGGTTTCTGCCCCGTTACTTCTGCGCTGTTTTTCTTGTTCCACTGCATGCAGTTTGCTTTTCAGCCAAACTGTATACAGTTCAATCGACCGGACTTCTTTCTGCAGATGTGAGCGTCCTTAACAACGGTCAATAAGTCCTTGACAGCGGTCTGTCTGTTCTGGATTAACAACGTGTCACGTGTTCTGAATTGACCAATCAGAATTGAGTATTCAACTAATCCATGTAATAAGAATGAGATCATCTTGCAGCCTTCATACTCACACAGTAAAAATCTCTTCACATTTGGAACTTACGTCACATGTTATCTTACTCTAAGTTTCCTGTAAGCTATACTTGTAGGATTTCACATTTCTCAGGAGGAAACACACTCCTGGCAAGAAGACAGACAGTCATGATAAAAAGGCACTATGAACTAAATCATGACATCCTAGGCAAGGCTCTACACTTTTGAGCTCTGCAAACTGCTGCAAAACTAAAAGTTATGGACACTCTTTTGCGGTGGATTGCTGTCCAAGAACACCCATAAACATTCATTCAACTTCCCATGATTCCCGTGTTACAAAGAATTTCTTCCCGCCTGAAACACTTAAACCCGCCTCCCTGCGCAGGATATGCGATATTGCCGTGAGCCACACTTTGGCATCAGACCCAGACTCAAACTCCACGACATCGCAGTCATTTTAGGCTTTAGCTGCTTCCTCTCACAGTAATACATTAATCCTGGCAAAGGGTCACTGTGAAACATTACAGTCCTGCGATGACATCAGTCCAGCTGCTAAAGACACCATTAAGTGTGCAAGCAGAGGTCAACAGACATTAAGTCATTGAGTGTTTTAATATATCCTTCGTATTCGTAGGGGTAATACTGTCTATGCAAACTACATTTTTCACTGCTTTTAACTACATGTAAAGCAGTGTCTTGCCCTCACATAATCATGACTGTTTTGTGTCCTCAGTCCCCAGGCGCCTCCTCCACCTGAGCAGTCTTGGGAGGACAAGCCCTCCAGCGTCAGCCATCTTGGATTAGAGGATTTCCGAGAGGCGCTGAAGAAGAAGAAGCACGCTCTGGTGATGTTCTACGCTCCATGTAAGAGCATACACTAATAATACACCTCTTAAAAATGCTATTCTGTAGTTGCCACCTTTCACATACGGTTAAAGGTCCCCTATTGTACTGTTTTTCATCAATAGGTCTCAGATATATACTGAACCTGTCTCTGATTGGCTGACACACCAAACAGATCATCGCAGCATTACCCATAATCCCCTCTGTTTCAGCCCTGTTTCCAAAGTGCTGATTCTCTGTCTGTTACTTTAGATGAAAATAAGGAGCCCCTCCCCACGCCCCTCTGAGAGAGATTTGGTTACAAAGAACTCAATGGTGCTCTAGAGGAGATTCAGGTGATACGGGGGAGGGGGGGGTTACCTTGGTTGCTGATTGGCTAATGGTTACACAAGACAACACATCGTTATGACATCATAAAGTGGCCAAAATCTGATCAGCTCATTCATGAAGAAGAGGGGACACATGTTGATGTAGAAGAGACATGAAGAAGAGGGGACACATGTTGATGTAGAGGAGACATGAAGAAGAGGGGACACATGTTGATGTAGAAGAGACATGAAGAAGAGGGGACACATGTTGATGTAGAAGAGACATGAAGAAGAGGGGACACATGTTGATGTAGAAGAGACATGAAGAAGAGGGGACACATGTTGATGTAGAAGAGACATGAAGAAGAGGGGACACATGTTGATGTAGAAGAGACATGAAGAAGAGGGGACACATGTTGATGTAGAAGAGACATGAAGAAGAGGGGACACATGTTGATGTAGAAGAGACATGAAGAAGAGGGGACACATGTTGATGTAGAAGAGACATGAAGAAGAGGGGAGACATGTTGATGTAGAAGAGACATGAAGAAGAGGGGACACATGTTGATGTAGAAGAGACATGAAGAAGAGGGGACGGGGACACATGTTGATGTAGAAGAGACATGAAGAAGAGGGGACACATGTTGATGTAGAAGAGACATGAAGAAGAGGGGACACATGTTGATGTAGAAGAGACATGAAGAAGAGGGGACACATGTTGATGTAGAAGAGACATGAAGAAGAGAGGACACATGTTGATGTAGAAGAGACATGAAGAAGAGAGGACACATGTTGATGTAGAAGAGACATGAAGAAGAGGGGACACATGTTGATGTAGAAGAGACATGAAGAAGAGGGGACACATGTTGATGTAGAAGAGACATGAAGAAGAGGGGACACATGTTGATGTAGAAGAGACATGAAGAAGTGGATTTTGCATAATAGGTGACCTTTAAATCGTTATATGCCTTGGTGTTTTGATTGAGATGTTAACTGCTTGTGAGTCACAGTCCTTCTCTGTTGGACCCGGTGGGATCATATATTGGGTTTAAATCGGCGCGCTTCCATAACTCCGAGCTGCCTGTCAGGCTCCTGATCACGCAGTATATAAACCCCGCCTGAGCCTCCGGGAGACTGAGCTATGATTCACATGACTGAGAATAGATTTGTGAAAAACAGGAGAAAAGTTCCAGCTCATAATTCAGCTTTCCTGGAAAACATGAAATGTAGCTTTTTGTTCAGAGATTGAGTCGATTGTGTTTCTGACATTGAATTAAACTGCAACATCAAGTTCAATAAGTTCAGAGTCAACACTTTGAAATAAACTCCTCATGTTTGTCTTCAACACTGGAAGAAATGCTGCTCCAAAAACAAGCAAAAAACTATGTAAACAAGTCGTGTTCCCTTGTAATTTGCAATAGGATGGAATATTAAGATAAATCAGATCTTGTTATTTGCTAGGAAAACTTATTTTCAAGTATATTCTACCAGAATCAGGAAATGATGTGTTAAAAAACTAAGCCCCAAATGCAACAAATATTTCTGTTTTCTGGTGTTAGCTGGTGATTTTCCATTAAACATTTTTACATTTTTTTTTATCTGAGATACAACTCAAAGTAAGACGTTTTCAAGAGTCTTAACAAGATACTTAATATGTATTGTCTAAAAACCAGACCCTATATCTCACTTCAATGTTACCTCTTAAGTCATTAGGTCTTATATCGAGTGGCGAGACATATTCCGACTAAGCATTAGACAAATATACTTTGCAAGATTTCAACTTTTCGTAGCTTGTTCTTCATCTAAATGAGACATCCACAAAGTGAGCCTGTGTTGTTGAATTTAAATAATTTAAGGAACCGGTGTTATGACATCTGAGTTCTCACACCAAACACAGCAGCAGCAGGAATACAGATGATAATTATCAATCGTTATCAATCCACGCTCTCAGCACCTCTGGCCTTTGTGTCTGATCGGGCTTCAGAGCTCAGCGGTCACACTGCTCTTTTTCAACGCTTCAATCCACAAAGAGAGACGCTCCAGATGCACATCAGGAACAACCTGCTCACTGGTGACTTATCAAAGTCTAAATCGAGCATGTGATGAGATGCAGCTGCTTAGACATTCAGGCAGGAGATGCTTCAGACTGAAAAGAATATATTACACACAAAAGTTTGGATCACTGACTTACAGTATAGCCTCACACCTGCACAATTAAAACTTGACTAAAAATAAATGCGATCAAATCTATCTTATCTTTCCGACAGCTCTTTACAAAAGTCAGGACGTTGGGTTTTTTTATTCGGTGTTATCACAACACATTTCTCTGAAGCTTAAGAGAAGTTTAATTTTGGCTAATTGACTACAAGTAAGAAAATGTATAAGCACAATTTGATTTATAAGTTTAAAGATTGACAAAAAACACGGGGGGAAATTGTACACAACAAGAGACATGTGACATTTTTCTGAATATTCTAAATGCCACTGTGCCCCAATAGGCGCATTCACACCGCAGTACTTTTCCCACAAAGGTTCATGAGAACTAAGTACAGATCGCGTTCACACTGGAAAAAGTCCCTGGGGGTGGATTAGGCAAATGAAGCCGCTGACGTCACTTCTTCTTCTTCTGCTTTGGGTTTACTGGCAGGCCGCAAACCACTTCACGGCGTATACTGCCGCCCAAAGTCCCCGGCCGGAAGTCCCCGGAGTTGGGGACTGGCTTCAGTAGAAGCTGCTGGGACTCCCAGCAGCTTCTACTGAAGCCTTCCGAGTAAATCACCAGAACACCGACACCTCCTCATCTCCACCACTCCCATGTTTTCTTTTGTGTTGCCATAAGTTAGTCTCTCTGCGTTTCTGCGCTGGGCTAATGCTAATAATGCTAATGCGAGGATAATAAAATGGCGGCTTCACAAAACTTTTTGGGAGTTTTACGGGGCGTGGTTTGCAATCCGCCCAGCCAATCAGACATAGGAACCTTTTTCTCCCACGAAAGTCCCTGCTCTCTAGCAGGGACTGAAAAGGGGGTAAAAAGGTTCTCATGGAATAATTTTAGTTCCGGCTCTTTTTGGTGTGAACACAACATTTCGGAACCATATCGGAACTAAAGTGGGAAAAGTACTGCGGTGTGAACGCGCCTAATGTGTATTTGATTACTTAGCCCTCTGGCATCATGTATTCAGGCTCAATGCATTGTCCCAGGTGTTTAGAGTCGGCGAGGTCCTGATAATTGATTCCGGTAAATTACTCTGACCTACTAATTGACCTGACCGAAGTTATTGAGTCTATGTAAGTTTACTGCTTGGCTCAGATCCACCAACGTCAGCAAGATCTCACCTCTATTAACCTCCCGAAGAACCAGGTTCAATTAACTGCTGTTTCAATTCAGACAACTCTTTTTTAATCTGTTTAAGGGATCCCGAAGGATTTTGATATCAGTAAATGGAGTGTCCTCCTACCTAAGTGTGAGTGGCAGGGTGCAGTCTTACCTTTTAAGCAGGAGAGGAGGGCATAGGTGTCTTTTAAGTTATCCCAGTCCAAAAAGGTGGGATTCAGTTTATTTGAAGAAAAATAGGTCCAAACTAATACAGGGTTTTTACTTTCTCTCTTTACAACATTATAATCATACTAAAAAAAAATGGTGCTGTGATCATGTTCAAATATGAAACTTTAATTCACAGTCTTACATTTATTACCAAAATGTTTAATTTCAACTGCCCAATTCAGTTGTGACATTTTAAAATCTCCCGACAGAATTTAGAGGTATTTCCTCATAAAAAGACCGGTGTCAATAAAAATTTGAATTCAAACTTTCATTTTCACCCAATCAATTCACATCAGGTTCAGACCTTTTTTCCGACACAGACGGCGGGTACTAACATTCAAAAACACACACCTATCTCCCGCAGGTATTTCGGAGGAAGATCCTCACGGTGGCGGTTACTAATTACGAACACACTCCTATCCGACACAGATGGCGGGTACTAACATCCACAAACACATACCTATCTCCTGCAGGTATTTCGGAGGAAGATCCTCACGGTGGCGGTTACTAATCACAAACACATCTCCCATCAAATCATTCCACTCAGCATTCCAACCAAGAAATTCACTCAGCATTCAAAGAAATTCACTCAACATTTCAACCAAATTCACTCAGCATTTCAACCAACAAATTCAGGAGATATTTACCAAGTTTGAGAGAACCTTACCGAGAGCTATTAACCCAGCTCTGAAGGACAAAGCCTACCGGGAGAGAGTCTACCAGGGGAAACCCCCCTCTCTCTCGCGCTCTCTCAAAAAACCAGTCTCTTTATGCTCAAAAAACCGGATCGAAAACCCAAAAAACAAACACCTCCTCTATTCCCAACCAACATCTTCTATTGGCTATGGCCTAAGACACACCTTCCCATGTTTGTGTAGAAAACAGGACATGAACAGACATATTCTATGGCTATCATAACCACCTTTTTGACGCCTCAATGTTTTTCTCCTTCAGTCAGGACCCCTCCCTGTGAACTGCTGTCAGAGGAGAGGGAAAAAACGGCCTACTCTCTTATCAGAGACACCCATAATTCTTATAGGCCTTACACTCAACTTAACAAACCACTTGGTTTTGTTTATACTGTATCTATAGCCTTACATATGAAGCATTTTCATTGTGGGTTATACAAGAATATAATTGATTATATTTGATTATAACTAACTTTCGTT